GTTAGAACGCTGGCCTTGTAATCCTGGGGTCTCGGGTTCGATTCCCGGCGGTGCCCGAATTTATAGCTTGTGTTGGGCAAGGCCGTGGGCTAGGCAACACGGAGTTTTTCTCCGTGGCATCCCAACAATTACTCATTACTCCATACACACAGAAGAAGGCAATGGCAAAGCACTTCTGGATCATCTGCCAAGAACGTATATGAACAGGTCCCAGTCCGAGAAAAGGATGGAAGGATCCTGTTCATATGGACCTGTCGTCAGACAGAACACTAAATAAATAATAAATAAATTGACAGATATACGGGAATTCTATAATGACAGCTGAGAACAAGGACCGAACACATAAGTTGTTTCAAAGTTAAAATGCTAATCCATTCCTGTTTCATCTAAATACTAGTTATAACATAACAGTTATATTAAATACTCCCCAATTCTTGTCACACTTCAAGAGTGTAACAAGCTCGGAAGGTATGTTTGGTACCGGACACAAACAGCGTCCTCATGCTCTTCGAAACGTCCATTTAGTGGCATTGAATCCGTCTTGTTCGATAGTTCCCATTTCGGCCACCAGATCGTAGTACCTCAATGTCCTCCTCATCTGCCATTTTGTTATCACAGATTCTGCAGAATAGCACATAAAATTTCGTCCAAATCCGTCCAGTGGTTCTCGAGTTGAACGGACGGACGGACAGACATGATCAGCCCATAATGCGTTCTCTCTAAGCATTTCGTGCATAACAGCCGAAGGTAACTTTCGGGTTGTGAACAACCTAACCTAACCTAACCTAACCCTGATGGTACAATTCTTTTTGCTGCACAATGCCGGTTCGAACTTCCACTGCTGCTGACTATTTCGTACGCGACGAGTAACACGTGCGTGCCATCTGCCGCCTTATCTAAATCAATGCTTCTACCCTTATTAATGTCGCTGATAAAGTCAGCCCCGCCCAGTACGTAAATCAAATGTTTAATTTAATTCATCGAGCGACATTTCCGAAATTTAACTCTTTTTTTATTGATATACTAAAAAAAGTGGTATTTAAGGATTCATATTACTAACTCGCCAGTGCCAGAGTAAAGACGTGTACGTCGTAAAAGTTCGGGAAACGAAAATCAAATTTTGAAAAGTCCTCACAAATCATGTTTATTGTTTCTTCCAAGAATACGATTATGCAATGTACACAGGAATGTATGGTTGACTTAACAGTTCTGTTTAATTACAGGTAATATGTATTTGGCCGCTGGGACCATGGGTTCGAGTCCCACTCAAGGCATGAATGTTTGTTGGCGTCTTTCTGTGTTTGTACAGGTAGAGGCCATGCGATGGGCTGATCCCTCATCCAAGGAGTCCTACCAATGTCCAAATAGATCAAATGAATAAATAAAAACCTCGACACCTGCGGGTAAAAAGATTAACTAAAGTAAATTAGAATGTTAAACAAGATATGTACGTTGTTTTCCATAAATTACATTCTTTTTACTATGCAATTCTCATAATTCCTTCATTTTTAATTTTCCTTTTCTTATTTTCCTGTTAACAGTATTATTTGAGGTTAAATTTAAATAAGATCACTGGGATGAGTGGATTTGACGGAAAAGCCAAAGATTTTAGTGCTAAATAATGCGAGTAACTCAACTGCTGAAAGCAGGAAAACACCTGAACAAAATCACGAAGGCTTTGCCCGGTCGCTGCACAGAATCGCTTCCCTGAGCCAAAGCGCGGAATTTAAGCCTGTGGGTGGATTACATTCAACTTTGTAAACATGTTTTGTGTTTATTTGCTCTCTGCTTAAATTCTAGTTACATACAGGAATTTGTATCATAGAGAACTAAACAAAGAAATCGGTAATGAGGTACACTTATGTAAAAAAACTGTATTAA